TTCAAGACAGGGGACCTGAGTTCAGATTCTGACCCCAACACTTACTGGCCATGAAACCCTAGGCACTTCTCCGGGGCTGTTTCTTTCTGTCTAAGAGTGAGACTGGACAGCCTTGGAGGCCGTGCTAAGTCCCTGATCGTGTGGATGGAGCAGGGTTTGGAAGGGCCAGGGGCGAGGGCCCTTCGTGAGCTGGCATCTGCCTCTCACCCTCTCTGGCTCACGCCTGCCCTCCCTGCTCTGCAGATCTCCCTGCCTGCCTCGGATGAAGGCAGCAGCCCCACGGACAGCTCGAGGGCCAGCTCTGACGGGGAGGATGACAGCACCCTGGAGCTGCTGGGCCCCAAGTCCCGGAGCCCCAGCCCCGGCAAAATGAAGAGGCACCGCAGCCGCAGCCCCGGCCTGGCCAAGTTCCCCGGCCTGGTCCTCCGGCCTTCGTCTCGGGAGCGGGGGACGAGCCGTAGCCCCTCCCCCCAGGGCCACCGGCCTCTCAAATCCATCAGCTCTGGGCAGGGCGCGGGAACCAGGGCCAAGGAGAAGGGGAAAGCGGGCGGGGGCCCCGAAGAAGAGGATCCCCCCCTGCCCGAGATGCCCGGGCCCTGGAACTTCCCCTTGCCCAGCTCCCTGCCTCGGCCCGTGCCCCTCACCCTGGGCCTCCTGCCTTCCCTTCGGCTGGAGCCCATCCTTGGCAGCCAGTGGCGAGAGGGGCCCGAGCCGGAGGACCGGATCAGCCCAAAGAGCCCCGGCCATCCCCCACGGAGCCCTTCCCCCGGCGCCAAGAGCCCCCAGAGGATGGAAGACGGGCCCCTGGGGCCCTGAGTGCGAGCCCGCGTGTGCACCCTCGCTCCGAGCTGCATCCGTCCACCCCACCCATGGCTCCTCCCGCAAGGCCTGCTGGCGCGGTCTGTCCGCCCTATCCTGCGGGCAGAGTCGGGGGCCCTGCAGGAGTGTCGGGCTGGCCGGGGTCTCTACCTCCGTGCTGCACCTTGAAGAGGGACCCTCCCTCCCTCTCTCCATCCTGGACCCTAACCTGTGACAATGACTGCCCCCTTGCTTTTCCCAAGCCCGGAGCTGGGTGCAGGGGGGCTGGGGGCTGGGGGAGCCCCAGCTGCTGGCCATCATCCCGAGGGCTGTTTATTAGAAATAAAAGTCTCACATGTCTTCTGAGCCTCCCGTTTGGACGGCGGTTGGGGTTGGGGTGGGGGTGTAAGTCCAAGAATCCCAGAGTCAGACAGAGCTGCAATCTCCCCTACAGCATTCCCCAGGAGGAGGCATCCAGCCTTCTGCTTTCAGACCTCCATCGATGGGGAGCTCACTAGCTCCCGAGGGAATCCATTCCACATCTGGCTGGCCTTGTCTCCGTGTTGTTAAGGATGGTAGATTGGGAGCAGGAAGGGGTCGTCTCATCAAAGTGCCTTTTTAAAAATTTTTTTACAGATAAGTAAACAGATCCAAAGAGGTTGGGTCACTAGCCCATGCTCCGAGGTCATGAGTGAACAGCGGGGCTGGCTGGAATCTGAACCCAGGGCGTCTCATCCCAGGTCCATTAAAGATGATGCCTAGTCCTGCCTCCTAGAGCCAAACCTAATGACCACTCTTCCAATACTCAAAGAGAAGGGTTAGGGTGAGGGGGAAGTGGGAAACACCATCTAAAGGAAGGAAAGCAATGAGCACTTATTAAGCACCTACTATGTGCCCTATGTGCCAGCTACTGTGCTCAGAGCTTTACAACCCTCTTGTATGATCCTCACAACAACTCTTCAAGGTAGATATTATCCCCATTTGACAGATGAGGAAACTAAGGCAGACAGAGGTTAGGAAGTGACTTGCCCAGGGTCACACAGCTAGTAAGTGTCTGAGATTGGATTTGAACTCAGGTCTTCCCGACTCCAGGCCCATATAAATAATGTCATGCTGGACCTTGGGTCTCAATGATCTTCAAATGATTCCTAGGGCTTCCAATCCTTTTCAGGATGATTTTCCCGCAGGATACCTTGAGTTTTAACCTCAGGGCTTCTAATGAAGTATTCTTAATTTGCCACACATGAAGTGTATGTTGTGTCCAATGCACAGTGTGGATGGGGGGGATGGAACAGCCAGTCCAGGTGTGTCCAGGGGTGTCCAGGGGTGTCCAGGTGCATCCAGGTGTATTGGCACCTTCTCTGTGGAGACCTGCTTGGAGCACTGAGCTATTAACTAGCTTGTCTGGGGTCGCACTGCCTGTAGGAGTCAGAGGCAGGCTGCAAAGGAGGATGTTTATCTACTACAGAAGTGAAAAAATGGTCCCCCAAGGAGCTTCTGTTCTTCCATCCTCCTACACATCTGCAGATGAGTAAATGCAGAAGAATTTGAGGGGGAAAGGTTCACTAATAACTAAGGAGACCAATCAGTAAACATCGATTAGGCACCTACTGTATGCCAGGCTCTGGGGATAAAGACAAAAATGACAGTCTCTACGGTAGAAACGTGTCCACATCTAAGATGAGACAAAAATAAATTGGGGGTGATTTGGTGGAAGCCTGATTACCTTGGAGGACCAGGAAAGGGCTCATGCTGAAGGTGATTCTTTAGCCAGTGATACAGAAAGAGGTGGGGCAGGAGGGCATCTCAGGCATGGGACACAGCCAGTGCAAAGACATAGAGGTGAGAGATGAAGGAACCAATGGACCAGAGTGACTACAGATTGTGAACTCAGGCTTCCCTCACTGCACCAAACTTTACAACAGTCACTTGCCTGACGCCTCATGACTGGGAGCAGAAATTAATCGGGATAAAGCAGGCTTCCCTCCGTTGACAAACACCCGCCACCCAAAGGCTGCTGGTCCCCAATGACTTCATTTTTTAAAATTTTTTTGGCTAGGCAATGGGGTTAAGTGACTTGCCCAGGGTCACACAGCTAGTAAGTGTTATGTGTCTGAGGCCGGATTTGAACTCAGGTCCTCCTGAAGCCAGGGCCGCTGCCCCCAATGACTTTAAACCTGGATCATAAGCCCTGGGACTTGGCTCGGTACAAAAGAAAGACCCGAAGACCACTAGGAACATGGGTTTGTGTGATGTCGCTGGCAAAATGCCCCAGGAAACTCACACCTGGGCAAATTTATTAAGATGCTGGGTCATTCGGTTCTGATGCCCCACTTTGGAAGTATCACTGAAAAACTAGAGAGGATGAGGAAACAGTGTGTGCCAGGCACTGGTGGGTACCAAGACAAGGCCAGGGTTCCTGCCAACCGGGAGCTTCCATTCTGTGGGGAGAGTGAGGGTGCCGATGTCCTGTCAACTAGAGGAGGGGGGTTGGGACCGCATCAGCAATTCAGGAGCTGAGTATAGGCTTCCCCAGGAGGAGGCACAAAAGATGTTGTTCGTCCTTCGTTCTAGAAGAGGATCCTGACGTCAGGGAGGTGATGTTATGACATGCAAGTGAGTTGGATGTCAGTGAGATCGGCGACTAATCCTTGAAGGAAGCCGAAGTTTTGATCACTCCTAAGTCCCCAAGACAATTCTTTCCTATATAGGCTGTCCTGGGAGACAGGGATTAGCCCCTTTCTGCTTTTCCTGAGGTTAGAACTACTAGTAATGAGCGGAAATTACAGGGCATTCAAAATGAGCAGACTTCCTAGCAATTAGAGCATCCTCACAATGGAATGGGTGGAGTGTGGAGGTGATGAGCTCCCTGTCACCAGAGACCATGAAGCCTATGCTGGATGAATACTGCTCAGGGCTGGGAGGGGCCCTGGAGACCCAAGCCAGCCCCCTCATTCTACAGATGGGAAAACTGAAGGTCAAAGAAAGAAAGAAAAGTGTGCCCCCAAGGTCAACCATTGGGAAACCTCCAAGGTGAGATTTGAACTCAGGTTTTCTGACCCCCAGTACTGGGCTCTGTTCATTGTACTTTCTTCTTCAGGAAGCAGGTGGACCAGATCTTCCACCTCCATGGTGAGCAGCAGAACGGTGTGTCTAAGGTCCTTCCCTTCGAAGGCCCATCAGCAACCTCTGAGGCTGGGGGGCTGCCCTTCTGGTCACTGAGGTACAAGCCCCATGCAGCCTTCTCAGTGCTTCTATGGTGCAGGAGGGGAGGATGATATGCTGGCAGTCACAGACAGCGAGGTGGGGCCGCTTCCCAGACACTGAGGAGTCACAGAGTGGAACAGAGACCATCAGAGCTTGGGAGGGTAGTGGGGGTGGTAGGGGGGAGACCAGGGATGTCAGAACTGGGAGGGCCTTAGAACAGGGAAGGTCAGAGCTGGGAGGGGCCTTAGAACAGGGAAAGTCAAGACTGGGAGGGGCCTTAGAACAGGGGATGTCAGGGCTGGGGAGGGGCCTTAGAACAGAGAAGGTCAGAGCTGGGAGGGGCTTCTAGTTTATCAGGTCCAACTCCATTTTACAGATGAGGTAAGTGAAGCTCGGAGCGGAAGACACACAGCTGAGATAAATAGATATACTATTTATGTATACATCTACATGTACTCACGAGTGTGCGTGTATGTGTGTGTGTGTGTGTGTGTGTGTGTGTGTGTGTGTCTATCTCAGAGCTAGCCCTGGCTCCCATGGGTGCTAACTCCTAGGTCAGGGCTGTTGCCGGCCCACAGGGGGACCCGGAGCACCAGGTCCTGGGTGGGGGTGCACAGGCACAGTCCCTGGCCTTGCCCCCCACCCCAAACCCTCCCCAGCTCTCCACAGTTCAGTCTCCATCTACTCCTAGCCCTGGACAGCACCTCACAAGGTCCTCCAAGGCTGAGCCCTGGGGAGGGAGATGATGTCTCCTTGTCTCTAGCCCCCCACCCCCCAACAGACGCACATTCCAGCCCTCAGCTGGACCAAGGAGGCAGAGCAGAGGCCTCCCTGCCAGGGACCTTGGTACTCCAGACAGAGGGATGCCAGATGCTTACCCTGGGAAGCTCAGTCATCAGCCGGCAAAAGACCTTTATCATCACATCGTGGGTGAGCCAGCAGCACCCCCCTGGCCCAAGGCAGCTGCCAGCTCTTCAATTTACAATATCCCAATATCGACAACAGACAGTACAGGATGGGGCCCCCAGTCATTTACCCCATGCCCCTCCCCCTGCCCCAGGCAGCATCCCAAAGGCAAGGGCAGCCCAGCAAATTAAACAGGAGGGGGTTGAGGTTGGTGAGAACAGGGCATTAAGCACATGCTGAGCATGGAAATTGAAAGGCCAGAGCCAGGGATGTGTCTTTGAGTGGGAGGCTAAAGCCTGGCTCACACCATCAGGGTATACCCAAGAAAGGATTGTAGCTCCAGACCGGGGGGGGGGGTGGAGGCCACAGAGGCCATGTAGTTCAGCCCCTATATTTTACAGATGGAGAAACTGAGGCCCAGGATGGTGAATCGACCCAAATCGTCATGTCCCTCACTTTACAGATGGGTAAACTGAGGCCCACCCAGGTGAAGGAACTTGTTTGTGTGCAGAGTCGATGAAGAGCTAGGACTGACTCGGGTCTCCTGCCTCCCAGTCCAGAGCTCATTCTGTTGTGCCAGTGACCACTCGCCCACCGTTAGCAAAGACAAAGACCTCAGCCTTCTGCCCTATCCAAAGGAGCTAGCCCAGGCTGCCTGGCGTGGGTCAGTGATGCCCTCTGGTTCTCGGGGTAATGCCATGTTTGTCCTGAGTAGGAGGGGCAGATGCTGCCCAAGAAGACAGTGGATATAGCCATCCCCCGCCAGTCAGCACAAAGCCCAAACAGGCCAGGCACGCCCCTGGGGAGGGCCTGGCTCCTGCTCAGTGGGACCCAGGAGTGAGGGTCCTCTGCACATCTGACCCCAAGGCTGCCGGCAGCTGCCTCCCCCATCACTGGGGTGCCCTCTGCACGGTCAAGACCACCTCACGGCACTTGTCATAGAGAGTCACGGCCCCTTGAAGCTCCTGCCCCCAGGCCCCCAGGCTTCTCTCTCTTCTTCTCCTCTTCACACTCTTCTCCTCAGCCTTCCCTGTGACTTTCATCGGCCATCCAGCCTGCTTCTTCCACAAACGCCGTAGGTGCCTGGCAGGGACCACCACAGCCCGGGAGTCATCCCTGCAGCTAGGCAAGAAGCGGCAATAGGTCAGCCGACATCTTTGAACCCTAACATGTCGGAGCTGAGAGGACCCTTAGAACAGGGGATGTCAGAGCTGGCAGGGGCTTAGAACAGGGGATGTCAGAGCTGGGAGGGGCCTTAGAACAAGGAATGTCAGAGCCCTGGGGGAAGGATGTTTAGAATAGGAAATGTCAGAGCTGAGAGGGACCTTGGAACAGGGAATGTCAGAGCTGGCAGTGGCTTAGAACAGGGAATGTCAGAGCTGGGAGGGACCTCAGAATAGGGAATGTCAAAGCCGAGGGGCGTCTTAGAACAAGGAATGTCAAGGCTGAGAGGGGCCTGAGAACAGGGGATGTCAGAGCAGGGAGGGGCTTAGAACAAGAATGTTAGAGGTAGGAGGGGCCTCAGAGATCATCTACTCCAACATCCTCTTTTTACAGAGGAGGAAACTGAGGCCCAGAGAGGTTCCATTCCTTTGCTAAGGTTGTATAGCTAACATGACTCAGAGCTGAGAATACTGAACGTCTAGAGTACAGCGTCAGAGCCAGACAGAGCTTTAGAGAGAGGTAGTCCAAAGTCCTAACTGTGTAGATGAAGAAAGTAAAGCTTAGATGGGGAATGTGAATTTTCTGAGGTCACAGAGGGCCGGTAGAAGAGCAAGCACTGGGGGTCAGCCTTCTGCCACACCCCCTTCCCTGGGTAGCCCATTGCTGGCATCAAGAACCCAGAAGGTTCTGCCCCTCAATGCCAAGTTCACTAAGGAAGGCACAGAGGGCCTCTCCTGCCACCTGCTGGACGAGGAGCCGTCAGTCTCCACCGCGGGATGAGGAGGGCAAAGCCAGAATAGGAGAGCTGGACAGCGGAGGACTGAGAGTCCCGAGGGACCTTCGAGGTCATCTCGACAAAGAGGGAAGTGGAGGCCCAGAGGGAGCAGGGCCTTGGCCAGGCTCACACGGTGATTAGCAAGGATTTGGACTCCTCAAACCCAGCATGTCTCCAGTACGTGGCCACTCACCCGTCGCTGGGTTCACAGTCCTCAGGCGGTCTCAGCTCGAAGCAAGTTAGAGCCAGCAGGTTCCAAAGTTTGTCCTCCACCTCATTGGGACCCTTGGTCCTCAGCACCTTGGCCAGCCTGCAGGGGCACACACGGACTGAGCCCTTCCTGCTCGGCCCTACCCTCCTCCTTTCTTCCCTCCCTGTGCTGCGGGTCTCCCAGCCCCCTCACCGTCTTGTACAGTTGCAGTGAAAGAGGGTGTGGTTCTCTGAATTGTACAGCTGGTACTTGGTGTCCCCGGGTTCAATCTTGTGCTGACACTGGTCCAGCTGCCGGTAGCATTGGCAGGCCTCTGAAGAATCTAGAGGTAGAGGAAGTAGTCTCTGAGGGACCAAGGAAGGGGCTGGGGTCAGGTACAAACAAGGCCCTAAGCAGGCCCCCTCAAGACAGATGAGCATTAAGGGAAACCTATTCCAAACCTACACACTTAGGCACACACATCTAACACACACACACACATAATTCCAAATCACGGGAAACAAACACCCAATGGTTACAGTAGAAAGAGCATGGGCCTCGGGCCTCAGGTGTGATGGGTTCAAATTCCACCTTTGATGCTTAATACCTGTGCAACTTGGGCAAGTAATGTCAACTCAGTGGGCCTCAGTGTCCTCATCAGCAAAATGAGGAGGACCTGGACTGGCTAGCCCTGAGGACCCTTCCTGCTCTAGACCCCTTAGACCTAATATGCTATTAAGCCTAGGTTTAAATAACCCTGCTAATACTTACTACCTGCATGGCCTTAAGCACGTCAAATCACCTACCTGGGCCTCAGTTTCCTTATTTTAAAATGAGCTGGTGCCTGAGGACACTTCCATCTCTAGATCTATGATCCCATAAGACCTGGGTTCAAGTCCCAGCTCTGACAATTACTGCCACTCTGACCTCGGCCTCAGTTTCCTTATTTGTCAAATGAGGGGATTGTTCTAGGGGGCCTTTGAGGTCCCTTCCAAATCTAAATCTAGAATACTATGATCTTCATGACACTCAAGACGCACAAACACTTAAGGACAAACATTCAGTTGTGTCCAATTCTTCGTGACCCCACTTGGGGGTTTCTTGTGGTTTGTCATTTCCTTCTCCAACCCATTTTATAGATGAGGAAATTGAGGCAGACAGGGTAAAGTGACTTGCCCAGGGTCACACAGCTAGTTAGTATCTGAGACCACATTTGAACTCAAGAACAGTTTTCCTGACTCCAGGCTGGGTTCTCTGGGCACTATGGCGCCCCCAGATGCCCTTAAGGACACATACTCAGAGACACAGGTGTATACACACACACACACACACACACACACACACACACAATCACAGCCTTGCCTCCACACACCCCTTCATTCCACTGGCCTTTGTACACATCAACTCCTACATATCATGCAGTCACAATAAATTTCAGATTCCTATGGAGACAATACAGCAGAAATCGCCTTGGCTTTGTAGTTCAAAAGTCCTGAGTTCAAATTCTGGCTCTCCCACTTACTACCTGGGTGGCCTTGGCAAGCTACCTCCCTGCCATGAGCCTCAGTTTTATCATCTAAAGTCCCAGGGCTGGTCTAGGTGACCTCCAGACGGTCCCTTCTGTCTCTGACCCAGTGACTCCACCATCCCATAAAGCAGTTAGACCCAGACCTGCCTACTGCCCACAGGGTGCAGGGCTGGGCACCCAGGAAGTGTTTGCTAACATGTTTCACTGAATCATACTTCACTCCTACAAAGCGGTAGATAAAAATAATCCCTGAATCATAGAATCATAGGCTCTCAGAGCTAAGCAGGACCTCAGAGGCCCAAACCTGAGCAAGGATTCCCTCCATAGAATGGATCAATTAAACAAGCATTTATTAATCACCTTCTGTGTGCCAGGCACATAAAGAAAAAGAAAACCTGCCCCTGCCTGCAGGGAGCTGACATTCTAATGGAGGGGATGACATCTGCTGACGTAAATTATCAATAAACAGTTGAGTGCTTACTGTATGACTTGCACAGTGCTGAGAACTAGGGATATGAGGAAAGGCAAAACCCCAGCCCCTGCCCTCAGGGAGCTCCCAGTCTAATGGCAGAGAAAACATGTGAATAACCGGGTACACACAAGATACAAACACAGTATGAAGGTGGTCTCAGCCTGAGAAGGTGTCTTGCACAAGGTGGTGTTTAAACTGTCTTAGAAATGGTCCTCCATCCCCTGCCTGATGACCTCCAGCACCCCCTGAGCCATCCCACTTCAGGACAGCTCTCATTGTGCTGATTTTCATCCTCAGTCAGCTTCCCTCCACCCCCCTCACTCAAGCACAAACCTTCACGGACACACTCAAGCAAACATGCTCATGCTGCCATCCATTTCGCTAGTGATTTAAGGTCTTTGAAGCCCTTTACATCCATTATCCTCTTTGAGCGTCACAAAGGATCAGTGTGAGGTGGGCTCTACAGTGTTTATTGCTCCCATTTTACAGAGGCAGTTACTGAGGCACGGAGAGAGTCACACATCCCCATCACCCAGGGGACCACAGGCACCTTAGTGATGCCACACCTTAGAAGGCTACTCACCTGGGTAGATCTTCTTATCAACTGGGTAGAGACTGGGCTTTGGGCGTGCATCATCAGGAACTGGGGTCTCTGGCGGTCCCTGAGCCGCAACCTCTGTTGAGCCTCCGGCTGCTTGTCTCCCACCGGGCCTGTGGCCTCTGCCCCAGGGTCGCCCCTTAGCATAGTGGTCCCCAGCCACCCTCACCTGCTTTCCTGGGGTGGTCACCAGGCTAGGAGCCAGGCCAGCGAGGGTTGGAGATGGTGGTTGGGCACTAACGTTAGCTTTCTGTGGACTGCTGGGCAGAGGTGGGGGAGGATGGAAATGGGACCTAGGCCCCTTGGGCCCTTCACTCTGTATTCGATGCCTCTGTCTCTGCTGCTTCCTCCTAGAAGGCTTCATTTCGTGGCCAGGCTGGGTGCGAGTCACATTATAGCGACTCTGCTGTAGAAGTCGGGCCCGGGGAATGGGGCCATACTTCTTACACCTAGTGAGGAGACAGAGGAAGGAGAGGAAGGTCCATAGACTCCTAGATGTCCAGCTAGAATGGCCCAAAGATGCCCTCCTGTCCTGCCCCCTCATTGTACATTGTACAAGGGGCCTTGGGGTCTCTGCCTGCACTCTGGGGACTCTGCAGCCGCAGCGCAGAGAGCCACCTCCCCGGGTGCCCTAACCCAGAGGAAGCTCTTGATAAAAGCTCTTTAGATGCCTGACTGGGGAAGGTGGCGGCGGGGGGGGGGGGGGGGGGCAGGGAAGCAACATACCAGGCTCTGGGAGAGGCTCTGGAAGAATGCTGGCCCAGCCCTGGAGACCAGCCTGGAACCTGGGCAGTGTTCTGAGCCTCAGTTTCCTCCTCCATCAAATGGAGATAGACATTCTGGTTTTACCAGCCTCACAGTGAGGGAGGGCAAGCTGATCTGTGACAGGCCAATGTGCCAACATAAGCAAGTACGGGAAATGATTGTGATTCCCTACCCTCTGGCACCTGCCCTCCACTGGGGAGGGAGAGGGAAAGTTAGCAGCATTTCTATGGTGCCCACTGTGTGGCAGAGACTGCCTACTGTGTGTCAGACACTGTGCTAAGTGCCTTTTGACAAATACGATTTCATTTGATCCTACTTCCAGACTGTCTTCAAGAAAATTCTATTTTCTTTTCTAAGCCCCATCTCAGCTCTGACATCCCCTGTTCTAAGATTCCTCCTAGCCCCTGACATTCCCTGTCCTGAGGCCCCTCCCAGCCCTGACATTCCCTGTCCTGAGGCCCCTCCTAGCCCTGACATTCCCTGTTCTGAGTACCTCCCAGCCCTGACATTCCCTGTTCTAAAATCCCTCCCAGCTCTGACATCCTCTGTTCTCCATCCTAAATTTTATGGACTCCCATTTCTCTGGCAGCCCCTCCCAGCTCTGACATCTCATCCACCCCTTCTGAGAGATCATGGCCCAGGAGCTGGGGAAGATGGGCTGTACCTTCCTCCTCCCCTCCCCCACCCCCAAGCCTCCCGACCTGGGAAGGACTCCTGGAGCAGGCTGCTTTTCTGGTTTGGTGCCCTGAGGGACGGGCTGACACTTATTTGTGGGCTTCTTGGGCCTCAGACAAAAGGGTGGGGGGCAGATAATACAATAGAAGATTCCTAGATAAATCTAATCCAGTCCCCTCATTTTCCAGATGAAGAAACTGAGGCCCACAAAGAAATCACCTGCCTAAGGTCACAAGGCACTTGAAATAAGAACTACTCATTTGTCTACATGTTAAGATCCCAAAGACCGTCTCCCCAAGACAATCCTGCGAGGATCGGGACAGGGCGGTTATTTATTATTGCCTCATCTTACAGGTGAGGAAATTGAAACTGGGGCAGTCACACAGGTAGGAAACTCGGAGCCTGGAGAGGGAGGATGCACTTCCAGGCACAAACTCTTACCCCCTCTACAAAGGGCTCCCTTACACTGGCCCTCCATCCCCAGAAAAGGACCCAGGGCCTTGGCGTCCCCAACCCTCCAGCTAAAGGGGGGAGAGAGGGGGAGGCAGAGTAGGGGAAGGAGCCCCGGGAGGCACGACAGGGAAAGGGCATGGGGGGGGAGGACGGATTATCAGCCAGGGCTTTTTCCTTGGTGAAGAGGACTTGGGAAGGAAGCAGGGAAGAGTCCGGAGAGTGGCTGTCAGGCTGAGCCCAGGCTACCTACCCGCCCCACCAGTACCACTGGATACACTCCTCATTCTCCTCCAGCACAAAGCAGGGAATTTCCAGCAGATTGAAGAAGGTGGTGCCCACAAAGTCCGAAATGGCATCCTGTCGACTCTGCAGACAGCCTTGGAACCTGGTACCCGGAGCCCAAAGGTTGTCCCCTTCAACCCATCCACAGTGTTGGAGGGGAAGGGAACTGTAGAAGGTAGGGGGACCCTGAAAGTTGGGACAAGTTGGAAGAGCCCTCACTAACTCCCCTGCCTCCCAGCCCTCTGCCCCCAGGAACTCAGAAAATTCAGAAGATTGAGGGATTAGAGATGGAAGGGCCTTCATTTAATGCAAGGGTCCTTAGCCTTTTTTTGTGGCATGGACCCCCGGTACATTCCCCTTTTTAGAACAATAGTTTTATATGCATTAAATGAAATACCTTGGATATCAAAGGAAGGGATTTCTATTGAAATAAAGACATAAATTTTTCCCATCTAAGTTCATCCCCCTTTCAAATCTATCCACAGACTCCTTGATTTTCCATGGGCCCCAAGTAAATAATCTCTACTCTACTCCACACACACCCTTTCCTCCTCCCTTCCTCCCCCCTCCCATGCTCAAATTGAAACAACTGAACCTCAGGGAGGTCTAAGGGATTCCCTCAAACCCAGGTCCCCCAACCGTCAATCCAGGGCTCTTCCGATGACGCTGTGATCCTCTTCTACCGGGATTCCTTCCCCACCCCCAGGAATAGGATAATGGTAGAGCTAGCTCCCCATTTGACAAAGAAACTGAGACCCAAAGAAATCACATGACTGGTCCAAGATCACACGGCTGTAACAGTATTGGAAGTAAGATTTGAACCCTGGTTCCCCGACTCCATTTCCTGCATCTTCTTTCTTCCATTAGCTCTGGCCCAGGAGTATCTCCTGAGTAGGGGTGGCCCCTGTCCGTCCACTCACCTGGAATCGCAGTCACAATGGGAGATAGTGTGGAAACGATAGTTCCGAATCCCGTAGTTATACTGGAAGGGCGCGATGTTGTGAGCACAGAGGTCGTGCTCCCGGCAGCAGAGGTCTGGCCCCTGGAAGAGCCCTGCGGGGAGAGAACGGGCTCGGCAGGCCGAGGGAGGACGCCTCATCTCCCCGAACTCCCCAGGGCTCCCCTTCTGTGCCTCCTCCCATGCTGAGTCCTTGGATCGCCTCTCCCGGCGGCAGAGTACAAGAGCTTCCTTTTCCACCATCCTCTCACGGTAGGAAGAGCGACTTGCAGCTGGACAGGACCTCAGACGCCACCCAAGCCAAGCCTCTCATTGTACCGAGGAGGAAACCGAGGCTCAGACTGGGAAAGTGATCTGCCCGCTGTCGCTATCTACAGGTCAGAAGTGGCTGGCAGGATTTGAACCCAGGTCGTCCGACTTTAAATCATTCTAACTTCCCACTTATGCACCTTGCCTCCCGCGGCCTCAGCCCAGCCCAAATAAGAATTCCTTTTAAGGCAGGCCTTTCAGATGGGCAGTCTGGCCCTCTTCTTGGAGACCCTGGTGATGCGCTCATGCTGACTTACCCAGTTCTGTGGAGTTCCCCGCAGAGTTCCCCACTCCGCACCAAAGAGTCCCAGGAATGGTCCAGCCCCTCTTCACGCGCCGGTGCCCAGCGGCTGCCTGGAGCTCCTCCTCCCTTTCGGCTGACCCTTTGATCCCCTCCCTCCCGGTGCTCGGTGGTTCCTCCTCAGTCCTGCGGCAGGCGTCCTGCCGCTCCTGGAGGGCTGCCACAGCGCGCTGTAGCGCAGGACTTGGGCTGTGGGCCAAAATGCCAGATCGGGTCTCGCTGCCCCACTCCGGAGCGCACGCAGCCTGGTAAGGCAGGACAATGGTAGCTCTCTCCCACCAGGCACATTCCAGCAGGTGCCCCTGCTCATCCCAACTGGCATGGAAGAGAGCCAACCCATTTGGGCCTCGGCTCAGGAAGCTGAGCGACCGGAGGGGAGAGGCGGGCACCGTCCTGGGCACTGCCAAGTGACAGAAGGTGCTGTTCCAGCTGAAATTTGGCACCGGCCCCCCCTTCGCCAGCGCCGCCCCCAGGGGGATCAGCGCCCACAGGAGCCAGCCTGGGTGTCCCATATCAGCTCCCCTCACTCCTAGTCTAGGCAGACAGAGCCCCAGACACGTGTCCCCTTCAGCCCCACTCGCGGAGGGTCCACGAGGCTGCCCAGCGACGGAAGTGAAGCTGGGGTTGGGGGAGAAGCGGCTTCTGGACCAATGAATGGAGGGGCAGGCAGGCAGACGCTAGCGCCAGACTTCAGGAGGAGGATGGAGCATATGGGGTGATCTCTGCTCTGTAACTGAATCCATCAGCCAGGCTGGGCCCCGGGGAGGCTTCTGATTGGCTCAAAACCTTTAAAGCCACCTGGCCCCATGCCGAACCCGCCCTGGGAGTTTCTGCCTGTTACCTGAAAGCCGTGACTCGGAAGTCGGGAGAGGGAGACTGGAATGCCATCCCTGCTCCCCTGATCCTTAGCCTGCCTCCTCCTTAGTAAAACAAGGAGGTTCCCAAGTTTCCCTTTCCCCTAGAGCAGTGGGGCCAGAAGCACTGGGAGCACCAGTTCCCTAGGTGAGGAAATAGGAGGCCCTTAGGTGTAAGGTGATGGACAAGGCTCTGGTGCCAGGATAGAGGCTGGTACTGCCCCACCTGTCACACATCAGTTGGCACCGGGCCATGGAGGAAATTGGCTAGTAAAGAGGTGCAAGGCCAAGGAACTGTTGGGGTAACCAGGGTTCAGGGCCCTGACCAATGCGGGGCTAAGTCCCAGACCCGTCCCCAGCTCCCTAGCCCTGTCTCAGAAGCAGCCACCCCAGGCCCTGGTAAGTCTCAGGGTGACAAGGGCCAGACCGAAGTGTCAGCTGCCCGGGGCCACACTTGTCCTGGTCTCTCTTCACCCCACCCTCTGACCTGGGTCTTGAGCCTAGAACTCTGGGATTGAGCCCGAGTACCCGCTGATTCAGCCTCCCCCTGACTTTGTCTGGGGCGGAGTCAGCTAGCTATTGGGTTAGGGCCTTGGGAGCTGGCCAGTGCAGGAAGCAGCCCAGAGTGAGGGAGGAGTCTTACCTTTGGAACCGGCCCCCGGCCTCCAGTGCAGGCTGGTGCTTGTGACCGAAGAAGCTCCCCAAGCTCAGGGAGGAGCGAGTGACTTGTCCTCAGCCACACATCGAGTGAGCCCGAGAGATAGCTCACTAAGGGATTGAATGCTGGGCTGAGGGTCCAAAAGGACCAAGTTCAAATCAGGCCTCCGCATGACTCTGGACAAGTCAACCACCTCTCTGAGCCTCAGTTTCTCCCTTTGTAAAATGGGAGAGTTTGACTAGATGGCCTGTGAGGTGTTTCAGCTCTGGACCCAGGGTGCTATGATGTATGTGTGTGTGTATATATATATATATATATATATATGTATGTATATGTATATGTGTGTGTGTGTGTGTGTGTGTGTGTGTGTGTGTGTGTGTGTGTGTAATTCAAACTACTCCTTTTACAGATGAGGAAAATAACCAGATAAAATCATACACCTATTCACAGACACACCTGAATCCAGAGGCCACGGAGCCCAACCCTCTCGTTTTACAGAGAGGGAAACTGAGGCCCAGACAGGGGAAGTGATTTATCTCAAGGCTCAGGACCCTTTACTCTGGGCCACAATTCTGATTCTGATATTGCTGACTCATTCTGAGCCTCCATTTTCCTTTCTGGAAAAGGGGAAGAAAAAAACACCATCAAGCCTTTCTTGGGAGGAAAATGAATGCAGGGTTTTTGGAGAGGCCACCAGGGACAGCAGCTATTTGTACCTGGCAGCTGTTCTCTCCCCTGTCTTCCCTCCCCCAGTCCAGGCACCCTGGCAGCTGTAGGTGGGGGGTGGGGGCCCACTCTCTGAAGCTGATGAGAGGACCAAGCCTCCTTGGGGGAGGGGAGGCAGGCTGGTCTGAGGCACTGAAGGGGGGACTTGGGCAGGTCTTTTGTCTCCATCACCAGGGGCCTCAGCTGGAGGCTTTGGGATAAGCCCTAGACCCAGGGCCAGGAAGCCTGAGTCCTGCTTCTGATTCTGGCCTTTGCTTTCTGTGTGACTCAGCAAGGCAGGCCTCAGTTTCCTCATCTGTAAAGTAGGGATGCTTTGCAGGGGGCTGTGTGGAAGCATCTCCTAAACCCCAATTGTCCCATGGTTGGCAGTGGAATCCAGAACCCAAGGATCTGGGTTCTGATGCCTATTCATCTCTGGGCCTCAGTTTTCTCCACTGCAAATAAAGGGGCTGGGCCTCTTGATTTCTGCAGTCCTTTCTAACTCTGAGTCTCTGATCCTTTGATCTGGGTTTGAATCTTGGCCATACTCCCTTTGTGACCTTGGGCGTGTCTTTTCTCCTCTCTGTGACTCAGTTTCCTCCTCTGTAAAAAGAGGAAGTTGGCCTAAGATGCACTCTGAAGTCCCTTTTCACTTTAGAGCTACGATTCTACAAACACTGCAAATAATTAATAATTAATAATAATGCCTCAGCTCCTGCCACCTTCTACCTCTGATATCCTCCTTCTCTTCCTCCTCCCCCTCTCCTCACCCCAGGCACAGCCTAATCCTTATTAACTCTTATCAGAAGAAAAGTCAGTCTCAGCTAGGAAGATGGTGGGATGGAGGATGGGGAATAGAGACCTCATCTCCTTGGTGGTGAGAGGGTGGGAGGGCAGCGAAGAGAGCCAGAAGGCCTCGGGGCCTTCCCCTCCTCGTCCCTGGGCCCTGATGGCTGAGGCCTCAGCTGGAGCCTCCCCCCATCAGCCTCCTCTTCCTCTCCCCTCCCCTCCACAGGCAGAGGGAAAGGGGAGGCCAGTATCTCTCCTCACCCTCACCCTCCACTTTGCTCTCTTAGGCTCCAGGTCAAGCCTGAAACAATGAAGAAAGATGTCAAAAGGGCCAGAAGAGCATCTGGTCTCCAGGGGCCAAGGGCTCAGGCCAAAAGCTATGGGCAGCCTGGGAATCAGCCAAGCTCGGGCTTTGCCTGGCCTGACCCAGGAGAGAGGGAGCCTGGGGCACTGCCTGGTGGGGGCAGGGAGCTTTTCAATGTGGAGAGAGAGAAGGGGGGAGGAAAGGGGGAAGCCCAGAGATCTGAGGGCCAGGCCTGGGGAGAGGAGGCCCCTGGCTCAGACCAAAGGAATCTGTGACCAGGTCCCTTGTGCAAGATGCTTAGAAAGGGAAATTCCAAAGAAAAGCCAATCTGTGATTGCTCATCAGCCATTATCAGGTCCTTCTCTGTTCTGCGCTAAGATTTAATTCACAGTTCGGAGCAAATGTTCCACCGGGCAGTCCTTGAGAAGTACCCAAAGCACAGTAGAAATGGACCTGGTTTCAACTCAGAGGAGGACAAAATTAGGCTGGGGAGTCTGGGGGCTTTCTGGAGGAGGTGGCCAAAATTCCCACAGGCAGAGGGAAAGGGGACATTACATTGAAAGCCAAGAAAGGGTCTTGGGGGATGAGACAAGGATTAGGCCCAGGTTTGCTGCTCAGGAGTCAAAAGTAGAATCCTTTTTGGGTTGGCCTTGGGTAAACAGATGAATTTGGCTCTGCCCAACCAGGACTCCCAGCCCAAAGGCTTCCTTTGAGTGAGGCACAGGCGCCTTCCCTGGGGAAGGAGTCAGGAGCCATGAGGAGGCACACAAGGAGGGAAGGAAAGAGCAGAGCCTGCTTAAAAGGCCACTTGACTGGGAGTCAAGACCTAGGTTCAAGTCAGATGAGTATGACATGAGGCCAAAACCTTCTGCCCTCTGGGCTTCAATGACCTGTCTGTAAAAATGAAAGGGTTGGGGTAGATGGTCCTCCCAGCTCTGAGAAGTGCGGTGTAGGGTGTCAGAGTCAGAAGACCCACATCCAGGCTCTTTCACTTGCTTCCTGCCTCAGTTTCCTATTCTGTAAAAAGAAGAGATTGGCCTTAATTGCTTCTGAGGCCCTTTTCAGCTCTGCAACTAGGAGTATGAGCCAGAGAGGGCACAGGCTGGGACCCGTCTGGGCCAGAGGGAGGGCTGGGGGACCAGTTAATCATCAGGGCTTTCCCTGGAGTTCATGAGGGGAAGTTGTGTGAGATCGATGTGGAAAGGGAGGCGGGAGCCCCATGGCAAAGGGCCAAGCAGAAGACACGTTTTATCCAGAAGTCAACAGGATTTGTAGGTTTTTGATCAAGGGAATGGCGTGGTCAAATCTGTGCTTTAGAAATATCCTTCTGGTGACTGAGAGGAGGATGGACTGGAAAGGGTAGAATGGGCCCTTGTAGCAGACCACACAAAAGGAGATGAAAGCTAGAATTAAGGCTGCTGCCGTGCGAGAGAAGGGAAGGGCACGGACAGCAGAGGTGCTTGTATTGGTAGAAGACTTGGCAGCCGATTAGATGTGAAGGGAAGAGCAGGGAAGAGCCTAGGATGACTCCCAGGTTTGGGCACTGCAAAGATGGTGGCTCTGTCAACAGGCATGGAGAAGTTAAGAGGAGGGGAGGGCTTATGCTTTAGATGGATTGGGTTTGAAAGGCCTGTGGGCATCCAGTTGGAGGTGTCCAGTGGGCAGTTGGAGACACAGGCCTGAAAATCAGAAGAGAGGTCAGGGCTACTCATATAGATCCAGGGACCATCTCTGCATGGAGGGGAGAGCTGAATTCATGGGAGCTGATGAGGTCACCAAGAGCGAGAGGACAAAGGCTCAGTTACCAATGAGGATCACTTGAAATGATTGGGGTTGTTTATTCTGGAGAAGAGAAGATTTGGAGGAAAAAGAACTGTCTTCTAGCATCAGAAGGGTGGCCATACGAAGGAGAGGTGAGGGGCAGCTAGGTGGCGCAATGGATAGAGCTCCGGCCTTGGAGTCAGGAGGACCTGAATTCGAATCTGTCTTCAGACACTTGACACTTACTAGCTGTGTGACCCTGGGCAAGTCACTTAACTCTGATTGCCTCACAAAAAAGGGGGGGGGGTTTAAAAAAAGAAGAAGAAGGAGAGGTGAGGTTTGGATGGCTTGGCCCCAGTGGGAAGGGCTGGAAACATCAGGTGAAGGCTGACTGCAAAGACAGAGATTTGTGCTCCCCAGGAACACTACCGCTCTGCACTGCCCCAGGGCTGTCCACTCCCCCTCCCCAGGGTCTCCCATCTGTGGGTGAAGCTGAAGAGGGAATACTCTATCTCAGGCAGCTTCATGTGAATTGGCCCCAGAGATCCCTGCCACTCTTGGAGTGGTGACCTAAGAGGTCACAGGGACAGGGTAGAGAGAACGGGCAGGTAGTTTCTAGAGCACATGTATAGACACGTTTATCAGAAGACCTGGATCTGGGGCTGCCTCCTCCACTGACTCAATTTCATTACCCTGACAGTCTTCCTCATCTTTCTAGAGCTGGGCTTTCTTATCCATACAATGGAAGGGATACTAATTAATAGCTAGTCCCATTCCCTCATGGGTGTGAGGGGGCGCCATGATGCACAGAGCCCTGGGCTTAGAGTGGGGAAGACTCATCTTCCTGAGTTCAAATTCAGCCTCAGATACTTCCTAGCTGTGTGACCCTGGGCAAGTCACTTAACCCCGTCTGATTCAGTTTCCTCATCTATAAAATGAGCTGGAAAAGGAAGTGGCTAACCACTCCAAGAAAACCCCAAGTGCGGTCACCAAGAGTCAGACCATGACTTAACAACCTATACCTCATATTCTACAAATTAATCAACAAGCATTTATTAAGTGCTTACTGTATGCCAGCCATTGCACCAGATACTGGGGATATAAAGCCAAAGAAAAGAAAACGAAACAGTCCCTGCTCTCAAGAGGCTTATATTCCCCAGGGGGAGGAAAAGTGCATTTTGTAAGAACATGGAAAACACATACAAACAAATACAAAATAACAGGGGGAGGGGGACAAAGGCCTTAGCAGCTAGGCAGGGGGCCCCTGCAGAAGATGGGGCTTGAGCTGAGCGTTTAAAGGAAACCAGGTAGCTGTGTGACCCTGGGCAAGTCACTTAACCCCAATTGCCAAAAAACTAAAAAAAAAAAAAGAAACCAGGGACCCCAGGGGGTGAACATGAAATGAGGGGTGCAATCCAGGCATGGGGAGGAGAGATGAAAAGCCATCCATGAGGGAGGGAGAGTGTGGCCCCACTGTGGAGTGGAGGAAGAGGAGAAATGAATAAGGAGAGTAGGAGTTTAAAGGGGGGCCAAGCTCTGAAGGGCTTGAAATGACAGAGGCTTTTATATTG